CCCCAGGGACATGGGGACACCCTTGGGGACATCCCAGGGACACCCCAGGGACATGGGGACACTGCTGGGGACACCCAGGGACACCCCAGGGACACCCAGGGGACATGGGGACACCCTTGGGGACATCCCAGGGACACCCCAGGGACATGAGGACACCCTTGGGGACATCCAGGGACACCCCAGGGACACCCAGGGGACATGGGGACACCCTTGGGGACATCCCAGGGACACCCCAGGGACATGAGGACACCCTTGGGGACATCCAGGGACACCCCAGGGACACCCAGGGGACACCCAGGGGACATGGGGACAGCCCTGGTGCCACCCCAGGGACATGGGGACACCCTTGGGGACACCCCAGGGACAGACCAGGGACATGGGGACACCCTTGGTGACACCTCAGAACAACCAAGGACACCTCAGGGATAACCCAGGGACACCCCAAGGACACCCCAGGGCCATGGGGACACCCCCAGGGACACTTCAGGGACACCCCAGGGACATGGGGACACTACTGGGGACACCCCAAGGACACCCCAGGGACATGGGGACACCCCCGGGGACACCCCAGGGACACCTCCAGGGACACCCAAGGGACATGGGGACACCCCTGGGGACAGACGAGGGACACTTCGGGGACACCCCAGGGACACCTCAGGGACATCCCAGGGACACCCCAGGGACATGGGGACACCCCCAGGGACACCTCAGGGACATGGGGACACCTCCAGGGACAGACCAGGGACACTCCGGGGACACCCCAGGGACACCTCAGGGACACCCAAGGGACATGGGGACACCCCCAGGGACAGCCCAGGGGACATGGGGACACCCCCCTCGGGGCCAGGCTGCACCAGGGTCACGCTGCCACCCCTCCTGGGGGCACCCCTGGGGCTTGGGGACACCCCTGGGGACGTGGGGACACCCCCAGGGACAGCCCAGGGACATGGGGACATCCCTAGTGCCACCCCAGGGACAGCCCAGGGACACCCCAGGGACATGGGACACCCCCCTTGGGGCCATGGGGACACTGCTGGGGACATGGGGACACCTCAGGGACACCCCAAGGATATGGGGACACCCCTGAGGACACCCAGGGACACCCCAGGGACACCCAGAGGACATGAGGACACCCTTGGGGACATCCAGGGACACCCCAGGGACACCCAAGGGACGCGGGGACACTCCTGGTGTCCTCCCAGGGCCATGGGGACACCCCAGGGTCACCCAGGGACAGACCAGGGACATCCCAGGGACATGAGAACACTCTTGGGGACATCCCAGGGACACCCCAGGAACACCCAGGGACACCCAGGGGACATGGGGACAGCCCTGGTGCCACCCCAGGGACATGGGGACACCCTTGGGGACATGGGGACACCCCAGCTGTCAGTGCCCCTGTGCCCCACTGTGTCCTTGTGTCCTTGTGTCCACGTGTCCCCAATGTCCCCAATGTCCCCCCAATGTCCCCCCAATGTCCCCCAATGTCCCCCCAATGTCCCCCAATGTCCCCC